TTATTTATGGCATCAAGCATGTACAGTATGAGCCAATCAGTGGCAGTAATGACAGAGCATGCGCTGTTACACAAAAACCGCGATAGAGTGAAGCCGCGGAAGTCGAAGCGCGAAGTGGCGAGGGTTCACTGTATATGTATATGTATATATATACATATGGAATTCTATGACATTTTTCCTAGGAAGATTCCATGTAACTAGAAATGTAAAGCAAAGGAAGGAGCGAGCCATGTGGCTGTTAGGGAAAGGTGTTCTAGGTGGAGGGGGCCCAATTTCCAATCTCCTGTCATTGAGTTGATGCTGACTTACAGATTCAAAACTCACTCCCAGTGAGTCAATTCTTACATAGACAGCTGCCTATTGGACAGGGCAGAACTGCCCCTCTGGGTTTCTGAGACGGAACTCCTTCCAGGAGTAGAAAGCCTCATACACAGGGTGTCTGAGACCATAAATCTTTACAGAGGCAGACAGCCCCATCTTTCTCTCTCAGAGTGACTGGTGAGTTTGAACTGCTGACCTTACAATTAGCAGCCCCTGATGCCACCAGCGATCCACAGATAGAAGGACCAGAGAGGGCGAAAGTCCTAAGGTGGGAATGCTCTTGAGACGATGGAAGAAGGGAAGAGGCCAGTCTACAAGCGGCAGAGTGAAGACATGACCTGAATACAATGAAGACAGCAAGGGATGCCAGGAGGTGAGCAGATCTCCTCGGGCTTGGCTGCCATTGTAAGCACCTCGCTTTCCTTCTGAGGGACCCGAGAGCCATCAGACGGTTCTGAGCTGAGACGGGACATACTCCAACTTCCCTTTTTTAAATGTCAGCTCTGCCTGCGGGGTTCCCAACGGATGAGGAAGAGGGAGGGAAAAAGTCGAGAGACTAAGTAGGAAAGTAGACGAAGATACAAATGGTAGGAGGCGGAGAGAAGTCGCCGCATGCTTGCTATCGTTTGAAGGGGGAGCTGACAGGGTTTCCTGAGGAACTGGTTATGGAAACTTAGAGCAGGAAGCGAGTCAAGGATGTGTCACCAGGACTGATAACTAGGAGTGCGGAGGCCCCGTTCCCTGAGATAAGACCGGATGGGGAAGGAGCTGGCATTAGGGGGAGTATCAAGTGAAGTATTGGAGCTGTCAAGCCAGAGAGAGCGGAGTGAGGAGAAGATGGGGGCCATGACCAATGGACTGAGCCTGCAAAGGAGACAGAAAGGAAGTGCCCAGAAAACAGAGTGAAACCCCGGGGAACGTTGACACGCAGCTGAGGCCCAAGAGTGTTTCAAGCAAATAATCGCAAGTGATCCATAATGCGCCATGCTCTGAGGAAAGTGATAGGGTAATTTGGAAATGGATAATGGCAATGATTGTATAGCAGAATTCCTGGGGGGTTTGAACTCACCCAGAGGCTCCTCAGAAGACAGTCCTAGCCAACAGTCTCAAAAGGCCTGAGGAGCCCAGTGCTAGCCTAATACCAATGGGGTCCCCATGAGTCAGCACCAACTGGACAGAAACTCATGATGACAATGATTGAACAACGCGGTAGACTGTGGTAGTCACCTAATCTGCTGTCAATTTAAGGATTAAGAGTATAGGGGTGGAGTCTAGGCTGTCAATCTGGAGATAGCCAACAAGACTTCTGTGTGGGCATGGCCTTTTAAGAATTCTGGGAAATCTGGTACTTCCTCCTTGGAGGTGGAAGACACTGCTCTCTCTCTCTGCCACTCCCCGGGAGACATTGCAGAAGACAAGCCACATGGATGCAACCAGACCTCAGAAGCCACAGAGAGACCCCTGCCAGCTCTGAGATGTTTCCAATGACACTGGATCCAAAGACTTTCTACCCACTGGCCTGTGATCTTCTACATTCTGCATCATTGCATGTGTTTCGTGAGTCTGAAGAGGACTTTATAGATTGATATTGGAAATATGGGCTAATATTGGACTTAGGACTTGATCTGGACTGAGCTGGTATGTTTTCTCAATGTTCAATTGCTCTTGTATATAAATATCTTTCTTCTACACATATGTGTGTCTGTGGATTTGTTTCTCTAGTCTACCAGACTAGAGACTATAGACATAGAGTTGGCTTGTACACACGCAGAATGTTCAAATGGCAGAAGATTTATTACAGAGAAGTTAACCACAACAAAAATGTTCATGGAGTGGACTGGCACATAATCCTTGGATATAGCAACGTGGAGGGCATTGGTGGCCTAGCAAGGGCTTGCCCAGCAAGGTGCTAAGGCCAGAACCCGGTGCAAGGTTGGAGATGCTGGAAAGGAGGGACAGCAGCCATAATGAATGGTTTTAAGGTGCCAGGGTGTGAAGGGACGGTTCATGGCACTTACAAGGATTCCCATTTTCCAGTTAAGAAACAGAGGCTCAGAGACTTGACTTGCCTGAACTCATGCAGACATTGAGTTTTTAGACAATGCTGGGATTTTGAATCAGGGTGATCTGGCTCCCAACCCGGTGCTTCCCGCCATTCATGGCAGACATCGTCTCACTCCTGTGAACCCAAAAGGAAGAGGCGGATCAGGGCTATTGTGGGCAGGGGAGGGGGGATTTGAAAGCAAGAACAGGAGAGATCCAGATGCACAAGGTGAGCTGAAGGGCATTTCTGGCACTCAGAGCTGCCCCAGGCTAACATCCAGGGAGCCCCTGCCTCCCCTCCTAGCTCATTTTAAGCATCTCCTGGGTGGGATGCCAACACAGTCTTGCAGAACATTGTGCTTTAAAAATGGGCATTTCCCCTTAGTCCTCATCCTGCAATCCCAAAACGATCTGTAACAATTTGCATATCAACTGTTCCACGGGCACCTGCAGCGCATGGAGCTGTGGAGTTAGTCAAGGCTGAATTCCTGAAGCCTTGACTTCTGTTCCATTCGACACAGATGCGCTGTGCAGAGCCTGGCAACATGCTGTGGAGAGCACAGGGTGCGTTCCGACAGTTTATCCGGAGAGCTGAGAACATCAAGGTGCGGGCGTGCCCCTGCTATGTGAATGGGAGGCAATCAGATTGCACCCAGCATGGAAAGGGGACACAGAGGAACTAACGAGAGTGAGATGCCTTGAAAATGTATAGAACAAAGAATAGCCTAAAATATCGGGGGAGACGATCTCTGGAAGGTTGGATTACTAATGATTCCATTTCCTTCTTTATAGCTCTCTGTGTGCCTCTAATTTTCTATGGGATTTGTGTGCATATATATGAGGGGGTGCCCCATAAAAACCGGAATTGCCCTGGGTAGAAAGGAGCTTTCTTAGTATACATTTTTCCTCCTGGGTGAGCATCGAGCAACTCTCTCTGAGTTAGTGCACCCAGTGACGTCACCTGGGAAGGTTCTCCCGGGCCTTAGTGAATTTTTTGTAAGAGCAGTTTCACTGGAACCTGATTTTTTGTGACAGCCAATTTAAGAGAACAGTGTGCGGCTGTGAAACTTTGTTTCCTGCTCTGGAAAAATGCCGCAGGAACTGTTGTGATGTGGAACACAGCTTACAAGGGCAGCACTATGAGAAAAACTCCAGTACATGAGTGGTTTTCTTGTTTCAAAAAAAGTAAAATGTTGATTGATGACAAACTTCATTCTGGACGTCCATCAACTTCCCAAATGGACAAAAGTGCCGCCTCATAGTGCATTTGGAGTATGTTCCACCAGGTCAGACTGTTAATCAAGCTTTCTGTTTAGAGGTTCTAAAAAGATTGCGTAACAGTGTGAGAAAAAAAATAGTCTGATTTGTGGAAGAAGGGGGACTGGTTTTGCACCAGTTTTTGGCAAAAAACATCATGCCTCTCTTGCCCCACACACCTCACTCACCTGACCTCACTCCATGCGACTTTTTTGTTTCCACAAATGAAGAGGGACGTGAAAGGAAAGCGATTTGACGAAGTAGAAGAGGTGAAGAAAACAAGGGAGGTGCTGTCAGCCATCCAAACAGATGCGTTTGCATAATGTTTCCAAGAATGGAGTAGCAGATTTGACAAATATAGTAAGTGTAATGGAGCGTACTGTGGCAGTTACATAGTCTGTCAACTTGTGAAGGGGCGGGGTCTAGCCTGTCACTCAGGTCACAGCCAATGAGGCCTCTGTGTGGGCATGACCTTCTCCTGAGGATTCTGGGAACTCCTGTCTTCCTCCCTGGAGGTGGGACACATACGCTCCCTGTGAGACATTCCACATGGAGCTACACTGAGGGAGCCATAGCCTTGGAGCTGGAGAAGCCACCTGGAGACCCACATCAGTGCTGAGATACTTCCATTGCCAATGGATCCACAAGACTTTCTACCCACTGGTCTGTGATCTTCCTGAATTTGGCATCATTGCATGTGTTGCATAAGTTTGAAGAGGAATTTGCAGACTGATATCAGACATATGGGTTAATAGTGGACTTGTGGACTTGCTCTGTACTGGGCTGGGCTGTTTTCTTAATATACAATTGTTCTTTTATATAAAGCTCTTTCGTATACACATATGAGTGTCTATGAATTTGTTTCTCTAGTCAATCCAGACAAACACAAGTACTTTGAACATGATAAAGCTGTTTTGTAAAAACAAAATTAAGTACATAGCTTTGGAAAAAAATTCTGGTTTTTTGGGGATACCCCCTCTTATAAAACTTTCAAAATCACAACCATGATAGGGGTACCTTAAAACAGATGGAGCATGAGAGCTAAGATTGGTCTTCAAGGGGCTCACAATCTACAAAGGGTGGTGAACCCATAAGTGAGTGACCAGAATACAAGACAGGCTGAGATCCCTGCTCACTGAGACCACCTTTGCAGAATATGCTCCACCAGAACCCGCGAACACCTTCACTTCCTGTCTTGTCCCTGCTGGCCATCTGGCCCTTCACCTGTGCCTCCTCCACCACCCCAAAAGCCACGGAAGCATCTCCAGGTCCCTATAGCTTGGCATCATGCCTATTTATGCATTCTGCTGGTTGCCCTGGCAGTGGATGGGTTGCCCTCCTCCACCTCTTCTCCCTCTTGTCCGCAGCTCTGATGTGAATTGTCTCATTGAGGAAGCGGCCAAAATGGAGAAGATCAAGTTTCAGCACATCGTGTCCATCTATGGGGTGTGCAAGCAGCCCCTGGGCATTGTGATGGAGTTCATGGTCAACGGCTCCCTGGAGAAGATACTGCCCACTCAAAGCCTCTGCTGGCAGCTCAAGTTCCGCCTCATCCATGAGACCAGCCTGGCCATGAACTTCCTTCACAGCATTAAGCCTCACCTGCTGCACCTGGATCTTAAGCCGGGCAACATCCTCCTGGACAGCAACATGCACGTCAAGGTAAGAGCCCTGGCCAGCAGCCCCCTACCTGCCTACCCCTTTTCTTGCTAGAATCATCTCTGAGTAGGTTATCCACCTGCCCGGTGTTGGGCCTCTCAAGGGTTTTGTGGCATTCCCTTCATGGACAGAGACCCCCAAAGCAGAGACGGATGGTGTGTGCAGTTGGATATCGGGGTCTCTGGGCTAGCCCTCTGTGAGCCTCTCATTGGTTTCTAGGGTGGATAGGAAATCCCTTATCTCTCACAGGTTGATGGTGCCCCAATGAGAAACTGTTGTGATGTGGAACACATGCTGTTGGTCGCCATCCTTGTTAGCTGCTCTTGAGTTGCCCCCCACCCCCACCCCCTACCCCCGTCTCATGACACAACATTCTGCTTGCTCCTGGGCTGATGGGTCAAATCATTGCGACCGTGGTTTCCATTGGCCGGTTTGTAGAGGGAGATCTTCAGGCCTTTCTTGCCAGTCTTCGTCTGGAACCTCTGCGAAGACCGAGCCAGCATCACAGCAGTATCTGGGTCTCCACTGACGTGGGTGGGGGCTGCGCATGAGGTGCATTGGCGAGGATTTGAACCCAGGTCCCCCATGGGGAAGATGAGAATCGACCGACTGGAAACAGATAATGCGCTGGACTGGCAGCCCAGAGGTCCTTCGGGATAAAAAGCCTGGAGGTTTCCCTCCCAAAGATGCAGCCCTTGAAATCCCAGGGGCAGTTTCACTTGACACTCCTGGGGTGTCCACTGACAGTCATTGCACTATAGATGCTGTGACCCTAGAGAACGGTCATGTGGCCATTTCTTCAGTGCCCAGAGTTGCAACACTGTGTTCTTTTTCGGCAGCACCTTTGCACAGTCTGTTCCCTCTGCATGGAATTCCCTTCCCCCATCACCCTTGGGATCTAGCCGACCTTCAGCTCTGGGCTTAAACGTCCCTTCCTTGGGGAGCCCTTCCACAGACCCCACTGTGTACCCTCACTGTACCTCCGTGTCTCCATATTACTAGCCTTCCTTGGAAATATGTGATCCAGGGCGAGGAAGCCCCTGGGCGTGCCATTGTTAAGCGTTGGCTGTGGACCACAGGGTCAGCCATTCAGACCACGCACAGCTCTGTGAGTGAAAAGACCCTGGGATCTGCTCCCATAAAGATTTCAACCTGGAAAGCCCCACAGGGCAGGTGTCCCCTGTCCTCTCAGGTTCCTGAAAATCAGCTCAGTAGCATACAACAGCTATTGGTCAACGGTAAGGCTGTTCCACAGATGACGCAACCCCCGTCTCAAGAAGCACTTCAGAGGGTTAGGGAGCTCTCGTCGTCGTTGTCTGAGCCACTGCTGTGTCCGTCCTTACGCCCAGCCTCACTGTCGGCCAGTGAATGCACCCAACTCCCTGCCCTCGAGTTCGTTCCCGTTCACAGGAAGGGATGAAGGCCAGCCAAAGATGGCGCTCTTTCACGTAGCCTAGCATATCCATGGATACCTCTGTGGAATGCTCTGCCCCCATGTGCTTCCTATGCTCCGGGCCCTGTGTGAAGGGCTTCCACAGCCTCTCTTAATTCTCATACTAACACTATGGGTTCAGCGCTTGTATCGGTTCCATTCTGCTGGTGAGAAAACGCAGGTAAGTGACTGGTGAAAAGGAACAGAAGTCGGTGACAGAGCCGTCGTGTGGTGGTGGTCACTGCTGCTGCGCCGGGGGGGGGGGGTGTCGCGCGCGGGGGGTGTGAGCCCGAGGCTGTTTTCCGGAGCCAGGACTCTGGAGCAGCCGCCCTGCCGTCCACAACCTCTGACTTCCTCCCAGATTTCGGACTTTGGCCTGTCCAAGTGGCTGGAACAGTCGACCCGGATGCAGTACATTGAGAGGTCAGCTCTGCGGGGCACCCTCAGCTACATCCCCCCAGAGATGTTTCTGGATAGTAACCAGGCCCCAGGATTCAAATATGATGTATACAGGTGAGTACACAGCCCTCAGGTGGCAGCTCATTGGCCTTAGAGCCCCAGGGGATGAGGTCTTAGGGACCTGAGGTCAGTCTGTTCCTGCTCTCCAGGGAGGGGGGAGGCATGGACAGAGTCACCTAGTTTGTGTCCCCCTGGCTGGGCTGCCATGAACATCTAAGAAAGGCCACTCAGGGAGCCCTGTCCCCCCACAGCTTCGGGATAGTCATCTGGGAGATCCTCACGCAGAAGAAACCATATTCAGGTAGCGGGCGCTGGCTCTCGGTGCAGGGACTGGGGGGCTGTGGGAAGCCTCGGGGTCTGGGAGAGCAGAAGGAGGGGCAGGTTGATGTTGGGAGGCGCCTCTCCTCACCCTACCACCTCCTCATTTCACATTAAAATGGGAGGAAAGAGAAACAGCAGCCCAGGCCCTCCTGTTTGATGGCCCCAATACTCTTCCTTCCTCCCACCCCTTCCACTGCCTAGAGGTGGACAGGTGTCACCACCAGGAAGCGTGGACAGCCTGGCCAAGTTGAAAGTCAGAGTTTGTGGGAGTGGGGGCATTGGGGAGGTGGTGGTGGTCAGGGCTGGTCTGAGAGCTGTAACTACTTAATCCTGAACCTCCAGTCTGCCCACAGCATCCCTGGGGGCTTACAACGCCTTCATGAAGCCCCTAGTATGTGCAAAAGTGCACCCCACTGGGCTCCTGAGCTGGGGCCCCAGCCCAGCCCTGAGCCCTGCCCCAAGGCTGCCACCGTCTGGGCCTCCTCCTGCAGGCTTCAACATGATGAACATCATCGTGCAAGTGGCCATGGGCGTGCGGCCCTCCCTGCAGCCCATCTTGGAGGACTGGCCGGGTGAGGTCCACCAGATGGCAGACCTGATGAAGCGTTGCTGGGACCAGGACCCCAAGAAGAGGCCATGCTTCTCAGGTTCTCAGCAGGGAGCGGGGTGCCAGACGGGGCTGGGGCCAGCGGGGGCGGGATGCTGGGTGGCCACGCTGGGGGCTATACAGAGAAGCCTGCAGCACTGGGGCCCTGGGATGGCATTTCAGGCAGGGCCAGCATCGCAGTCAGGGGAGGCTGGGTCTGGAATCCCAGCGGGTCAATGGGTGCATTTGTGTGTGAGCTGGAGGAGGGAGCCCTCTGGCTGGCTCTCAGGAGATGTGGGGCCCAGTCCTGGCTCTGCCTCTGAGGCCCATCGTCATTGAAAGGGCCAGTTTGCATGGGGCTCCTTTCCATGGGCGCCCACTTCCACGCCTACCCCCCTTCTTCCCTAGCATGCACATGGAACATTCTGAGGACAGAGAAAGATCCGCTCAGACTGTCCTGTTTCTTGGCTCAGCCCAGACCCACTTGTAGCCTGGCTCTAGTTTCCGCATCACAGAGTACCCTGTCCTGACCCCTCCTCCCAGCCCTGCCCTTGCCTAGATGCCAACAAGCTGAACCACCAGGAACTGGGGCCACCTGGCACGGGTAGAAATCAGAGTCTTGCACTGGGCCTGCAGTTTGGGGTCAGTCTGGGAGGTCAAGGCTCCCAGCTGAAGGGGTCAACAGGCATGCAGTGGGTCATGACACTTCTAGCTGCTCAGAGCCAATGAGCACACCCATGTAGGTACACGTGAGCAGCTTAGAGAGCCTTTCATCCCACTGCCCTGTTTTACAGAGAAGAATGCTGGCACCCAGCAGGGGCAGTGGCTTGCTAAGGCTGTGAGCCAGGCCCTTGCATCGTCATTTGCACATGTGTGGATTTAAGTGAGCCCCAGGGGGTGTTGGGATTGCCCTCCACCCCCAGCCTGCTGTTTCCTTTCCTCTTCCCCCCCACGGAGCAGACATCACAGTGGAGACGGACATGCTGCTGTCCCTGCTCCAGAGTGCCGTGGCTGACCCGGAGAGTGAGGGCCTGGCCAGGAAAGTGTCCTGTAAGCCGTTGCTGCGCCGGTCCCCGGAGGTGAGTGCCCAGGCTGCCCTGGGTCTGAGTGTGTGGGGGAGTGTCCTATGGTCACACAGATGCGTCTTCTCTGAGGCTGCCTGATGAGGCTGCCAGCAAAGGTGCCTTCTCCATAAGGCAGCCCCCCGCCAAGGGAAGAGGGGCGGAAGTCAGCAGAGCCCTGGCCTGCAAGGGGGACCTGCTGTCCTGAGCGTTCTAGCCCACTGGGCATCAAGGCCGGCTCTCTGCTCCCCTGTCTGGACTCTCCCAGGGAACCAGACACGGGGAGGCACTGCCGCCCAGGAGAACCTGCGGGTCCACTCTGCCTGCCTTCCAGTCAGCCTAAAGGGGAGACACAGCCCTTGACTGTCTCTTCCTGGCCAGTCTTCCCTGCTCTGTGAGGGGTGGCTTAGGAGGAGGGTCCCCTCAAAGGGGGCTGACGGAGTCCTGACAGGTGGAGAGAGGATGGGAGGGGAGGACGACGCGGACTGGAGCTGCCCGCAGACTCACACCCTTCCCCTATGTCCTCCCATGCTTGCAGGTCAATGAGGACGTCCGCCAGGAGCTGACAGACAGTGGTGAGTCTGGGGCACAATGTGGGACCAGAGAACCTCCTGTGGGGGAGAAAGGGGAATCCCCCCAGTCTTCCCAGGCCCGTCACACATCTAGACTACTGAGTCCCTTTCCCTAGCACGCTGATCCATGTTACAGAACAGCACACACCCTTGGGGTCCTGGCTCTGCCCCCCACTCAAGTCTGTGTTCTCCGAAGGCCAGACACCTCCCTCCATGGCTGGGTAGGGGAAGCAGTGGTTCTCAACCCCAACTGCACATGAGCACCAGCAGGGACTGAAAACGAAACGATGCCTGGGTCCCCCGCCAGACAAATTAAATCCCAAGCTCCTAGGGGGACCCTGGGCATTGGTGGCTTGCAGGCTTGCTGCTGCTGGCTTTTCTGTTTTTAACGTTTAATATCGCTGCCAAGTGGAGTCCCTGTGTGGAGCTGTGTTAAGCATGCTGGGTGCTGTGTGAGAGACCGAGGGCCCAGTCCACCCAGACACACCTCTGCAGAAAGGCCTGACAACGTGCATCCCATTATTCGATTTTCAGCCACTGAAAGCCCGGGGAGCGCAGTTCTCCTGTGACACAGCAGGGGTCACTGTGAGTCGGGCTGACTGACGGCAACTGTCTGCCGCTGTTGTTTTGTTGCTGCCGGGTAGGGCAGAAAGGAGCCCGGCAGCACAGCGGGCTAAATGCCGGACGGCTGCCCTTGAATGTGGCAGTTCAAACCCACAAGCCACTCCGAGGAAGAGCGCTAAGGCTATTGGTTCCCATGATGTCCAGTCTCAGAAAGCCAAAGGAGCAGTTCGACTGGATCCTGTAGGGTCACTGTGAGTCGGAGTCGACTCGGCGGCAGTGGGTTTGGTTGGGGACTTGGGGGCAGAGCAGAAGTGGGCCCTTCCTACCTTCTGGAGGAGCTCAGATTATAGAGCTCCAGTCACAAGTGTACGCTCAGCACGGAACACCAGACTCTGGGCCGCCAGCCCTCTGAGCACTTGTGCTTCTTCACTGGCCCAACCCTCGGCTGCTGGAGGGTTCACACCACTCAGAACAGAGGCTCGGAACCTAAAATCTGAGCCCACTGCCATCAGGCCGATTCCAGCTCATAGCGACCGCGGGAGACGGGAGCACCGCACCTGTGGGTTTCCAAAATGGTCACTGTTGGCGGGCGTAGAAAGCTCCATCTTTCTCCTGCCGAGCGGCCAGTGGGTTTGCACTGCTGACCTTTCAGTGAGGACAGGCCACTATGCCACCAGGGTTCCTAGAGAGGCTCATAGAGGCCGAGAATGGGGAAGGTCACGTGATGCCAAGTGGTGGGCGCAGGAGTTGAACTCAAGACTCCCTGACCCTTCCTGCTTCCAGTCTCTCAGAGCAGCCCCCAACCCATAACGGTAACAACGGCAATAGCAGTGTGTTGTTGCTCTTGTCCATTGTGACGCAGGCCACCCCAGGCAGGGTTTCTTGACCAGTATCTCTATGGGAATGGAGCACCAGCTCTTATCTTCTGGGGTACTGCTGGGGGGGTTCAAACTGCAAACCTTTTGGTGACCAGCTGAGAACAAACTAATTGTGGCACCCAGGAGATCGACGATAACGACAAAGCCTTTCCCAGGACACAGGAGGGTGGCCGAGGTGACCTGTGGGCAGGGGAAAGGTCCTCCTTTTCAGCCAGCTCTTGCCCCCAGCAGACTCAGGAGACTACTGGAAGTGGGCGCTGCAGTTGTCGGACAGCGAGAGCTTGGTCCCCAGCGATGAGGAACTGGGCATCTATGAGAACAAGGTCACCCCCCTCCACTTCCTGGTGGCACAGGGCAGCTTGGAGCAGGTGAAGCGGTTGCTGGCCCACGAGGTGGACGTGGACTGCCAGACAGCCTGTGGGTACACGCCCCTCCTCATCGCCGCGCAGGACCAGCAGCCCGACCTCTGTGCCCTGCTCCTGGAGCACGGGGCAGACCCTAACCTGGCAGACGAGGACGGCTGGGCCCCGCTGCACTTCGCAGCCCAGAATGGGGACGACCGCACCGCCCGCCTGCTCCTGGACCACGGGGCTCACGTGGATGCCCAGGAGCACGAGGGCTGGACCCCGCTGCACCTGGCCGCGCAGAACAACTTTGAGAACGTGGCCCGGCTCCTGGCCTCCCGTCAGGCTGACCCCAACCTGCGTGAGACCGAAGGCAAGAGCCCTCTCCACGTGGCTGCCTACTTCGGTCACATCAGCCTGGTCAAGCTGCTGACAGGGCAGGGGGCCGAGTTGGACGCTCAGCAGAGAAACCTGCGGACTCCGCTGCACCTGGCCGTGGAGCAGGGCAAAGTGAGGGCCATTCAGCACCTGCTCAAGAGTGGGGCGACCCCTGACGCCCTTGACCATGGCGGCTATGGTCCACTGCACATCGCGGCCGCCAGGGGCAAGTACCTGATATGCAAGATGCTGCTCAGGCATGGGGCCAGCACTGAGCTGGCCACCCAGCAGGGCTGGACACCACTGCACCTAGCGGCCTACAAGGGCCACCTGGAGGTGATCCACCTGCTGGCAGAGAGTCACGCTGACCTGGATGCTCATGGGGGCATGAACTGGACTCCCTTGCACTTGGCAGCGCGCCATGGGGAGGAGGTGGTGGTGCTGACCCTGCTGCGGTGTGGGGCGGATCCCAATGCCTCTGAACAGTCTGGCTGGATGCCGTTGCACCTGGCCGTCCAAGGAGAAGCCTTCCTGAGTGTCATCCACCTCCTGGAACACCATGCCGAGGTCCAGGCCTGCAACAGGGTGGGCTGGACAGCCGCCCACCTGGCTGCCCTCAAGGGCAATGCGGCCATCCTCAAAGTGCTGGTCAAGGCCGGTGCCCGGCTGGACACCCAGGATGGGGTGGGCTGCACACCCCTGCAGCTGGCCTTCCGGAGCCAAAGGCAGGGCATTGTCGCCTTCCTGGAGGGCAAGGAGCCCACAGTGCCCGTTCTGGGTGGTGCTGAGCCAGGGGCTCAGACAGAGGTTTAGGCACCTGGGAGGAAGGGGCTGGTAGAAATGAAGGTGGGCATCGGATGGCCCCCTCCCCAAGTGGAGTCCCCACCTTCACCGCAGCTTGAGAAGACACAGGGACCTGGTCTCCTGATGGTAGACAGACAGACCGAACACCCAGGTGGTGGCTGGGGAAGGCATCCCTGGCATGGGGAGTTCCTTCCATCTCCAACGGACCCCGGTCTCTTTCTGAATTGGACGCCAGCCCCCACGCCCCCAAGACTCCTGCTACACCTGCCCCTTGCCCCTGAGTTAGCAGAGGCTGCCGACCCCAGAGAAGCCAGCAGAGGGCGACATGGCAGTGAGGGCAGGGGCTGCCCTGGCCTGTGGTTCTGGCCACAAGCTGGGGCAGAAGGGCAGCAGGAGCTCCACAGAAGTTCCACAGAATCATCTGCCCACATTTTCATGCCCCTGCTAAACCCCTGCTGTCCCACTGACCACAGTTTTCCAGAGACCCTGGGGCCTCACACATGGTGTCTTGGGGCAATGGAAGAGTGTGTTCCACTGTGGCTGAGTGGACCTGTGTGAGCCCCTCACTGCAGGGGTCGCTCGCTGTCCCTCTCCTGTGTCTCCACTGACACTACCCGTCCTCATCCCTGGCATCTCACAAAAGCTGTGGCTCTGATCCCCCTCCAGAGAGATTGACCTGTAGGTCAGTTTTATCTAGGGGTCATTAGTCAGTATTATGGATCCCTGGTAGCACTGTGGATTGGGCAGTGGGCTGCTAACTGCAAGGTTGGTGGTTCAAATCCACCATCAGCTCTGAGGGAGAAAGATGAGGCTATCTGCTCCCATAAAGATTTATTGTCTGACTACGAGTCAGAATCAACTCGGTGGCAGTGGGTAGTGTGATTTAGGTGTGATCTGTGTGGTGTGTGTGGTTGTAACGGGTCTCTGAGTGGGAGAGGAAGCCAGGGGGCACATGTGGGGAGCTGGGTGGGGTCTGTTTGTGTGTGTGGCTTGTATGTGATTAGCGTGGTATGTTTATGTGTGTGGTTTATATGTGTTTGGTGTATTTGGTATATCTGTGATTTGTGTGTGGTGTGATAATTTGGTGTGTTTCTGTGTGGTGTCTATGTGTTTCATATAGTGTAGTGTGTCTGTGATCGGAGTGGTGTGGTGTAATTTGATGTGTCTCTGTGTGTGGTGCATGTGTTTCATGTAGCGTGGTGTCTGTATGTGATTGGGTGGTGTGCTTGTGAGTGTGGTGCTTAGGTGATAGGGTAATGTGGTATGTCTCTGTGTGTGGTGTGTCTGAGACTGGGTGATGGGATGGCGTGTCTGTGGGTGTGGTGAGTTTGCTGAAGGAGAGATGGATGAGCAGATGAGAGGATGTGGAGGGGTGCTTCACGGTCAGTGGTGGGTTATCTGGGGGCTGGCAGGGCTCAGAGGCCTCTCCCGTGACCACACCCTGTCCATCCATCAGCAGGCCCTGCCTGTCTTGCTGGTCATGTGGCAGTTAGTAGGAGGGACAGGGCAACTCCCACCAGCCTCCTACAACTCAGCTGTGGGGGTCCTGGGCTTCCTGGAGGCCTTGCCTGGATGGTGTCCTCTCAGAGAAAAGGAACCTTCTCTAGCCACTTTGCTCCTCTAGGCTGACACAGGTGGCCGCCAGCAGCTCCCGTGAGAGGGAAGGCCAAGGAAACCTGCCAGTGGGGCACCCCAGCCAGCCCTGCCTGCCGAGTTCACGGGTGCTCAGCCTCCCGGGGCCTAGAGACCTCACACGAAGGGGTGGGCCCAGTCCGGAGCGCTCAATGCGTGGGCAGCTCTGACCCTTTTACACCAGCTCAATGGGGAGAGGGGCCTGCATGGGGCTGCTAAGCGGAAGGAGGCTCCTCTGAAGCAAGATGAGGCCAGCTGCCCCTGAGAAGACGGACAGCCCCCCAGACCCACAGCAGGTGCTCTTCTCTGCCCTGTAGCAATGGGCTCAGTGGCAGTGGGCTTTGGGGTGGACAGGAGGAGCCTGACATCAGCATAACAAAGTCCCACATCATTCTGAAGAGCTGCTGGCCCAGGGGGCTCCGGCAGGGAGCGTCCCATGGCCTCTGTCTCTCTGTCCATAGCATAAGGAGATAGTCACTGGCCACAGGGTAACATAGGTCTTTCTCTATGGGGGTTGGACCTGTGGGGACTTGTGCCCTGATCCCAGTGAACTCACACTGCCCATTCCATTCCC